TTCCAAAGTACCAGTCTTCGGGGGGTAACATGTGTGGAGATGGCAGGTCGACGATTGCGATGGGATATTGATGTAGTGCTGGGAGGATTTCCATGGCGACTCCTTGTTGTACTAGTAGTAGCGCCGTGCCGAGTAGTTGCTGATGGAGGATTCCAAGTAGTTGCTGAGGGAGGATTTCCATGACAACTCCTTACAGAGTGACTTGCAGCAGCGCCGCGTGGAACAGTGACAGAGGATGGAGGTGGAAAGGGAAGAGAAGCACAGCTTCCAAGCTGGAAAATATTCCTGTTATCTGAATAGAAAACACTCGTTAAATTAGTAGAGGAATAATACAAGCACTCACCGGCCGAATTTTGAGTGTGACATGCCGCAGGAACAACTAGTTTAGTCCAGCCTCGAGTAAAGGCCTTCTTGTGAACATGATCTGCAAGTCCTGAGGCAAATATTTCTTCAAGAAGTTTGATCATATGGGACATGGTAGCGTCTTCGAGTTCACGACGTGGATCTCGCAAGTAGGGTGATTTTTCAGTGGTGATGATAATTGCTGGCTCGCTGATTCCATCTCCCGGTATTATTTGCTGAGTAGTGGACTTGGATGTGCACAAGGTACTGCTACTAACACTTTTCTGAAACACAAATTGTGCTTCGAGAGTGAAAGAGATGGTTGTCTGAATGTTGAAAGTTGATGAACAGCAAAATTCAGACGAGAATGTGTTGGACTCACGGTGTTCTTGATGTTTGTGGCTAGATCCAACCACTGCATACTATTGATGGAGGCAGTAGACATTGAACAGACAGAAAATGAACAGTAAGTTTTTTCATGAAAGAGTGAGGTAGTGAGGGGAGCGAGAAACTTAACTTGTTGAGACAATAGCGTGGTGCCATACACACATTTAATAATGGCCGCACATCATAGTAACAGTACTAGCCTGAGGTAAAACGCTTGATGAATCTGCTAAATGACGAGTTATCTTCCAAAAATATACATGGATGGGCGTGAGGGGAAAGAAATGTGGTGAGTTTGGAAGAGTGACATACATGGTAGCAATATTCAGGATCATAGAGGTAGGGAAAGGGAGGTGAAGGAGTACAATGATGAAGCGGGTAAAAGAAAGGAATGTAAGGAAACGGAGAGTACAAGGAAGGAGAGTACATGGTACAATGAAACAGATTCACTGGTGAACCCTTATCCCAAGGCATGAACGGAGCTAACGAGACTCAGTGTGTAGAGTCGATTACAGTAGAGAAAGCACCAATACACAATGGAGATGAGTTGCGTGAAATTGGAATGACTCTATGAGTCTAAGGGAGATGAGTTGCACGAAATTGGAATGACTCTATGGGTCTAAGCTGCACTGAGTGCCTTGAGCGAGCAGTGCTGGAGTGTAGATAGGTAAAATGAGTTGCATGAAATTGGAATGACTCTATGAGTCTAAGGGAGATAAGTTGCGTGAAATTGGAATGGCTCTATGAGTCTAAGCTGCATGAGTGCCTTGAGTGAGCGTGGTTTCCTGGGTAAACAGGTGTGTATATCTCTATTCTCAACCTCAGTGGCATCTCTGGTTTATTATATAAATGAGAGATACTACTGGAGAATAGACAAGAGATGTTACTATCAGTCTCAGTGGACATCTTTTGTCTATTCTATAAATGAGAAATGCCACTGAGGCTAAGAATGGATGTGAGATGCTATTATCGGCCTCAGTGGCATCTCTCATATATTCTCCATGTCATCTCTCATTTATTGTATAAATGAGAGATGCCACCGAGGTCGAGAATAGATGAGAGATACTACTATCAGCCTCAGTGGCATCTCTCTCGTGCAGCTTAGACTCATAGAGTCATTCCAATTTCACGCAACTTATCTCCCTAGACTCATAGAGTCATTCCAATTTCACGCAACTTATCTCCCTTAGACTCATAGAGTCATTCCAATTTCATGCAACTTATCTCCATTGTGTATCAGTGCTATCTCTACTGTAATCGATTCCCTTTTCATTGTAATCGTTCACCTCCCTTTCTGCATCTCTCATATTTATCTCCCTTAGACTCATAGAGTCATTCCAATTTCACGCAACTTATCTCCATTGTGTATCGGTGCTTTATCTACTGTAATCAACTCCCTCTTCATTGTAATCGTTCACCTCCCTTTCCGCATCTCTTGTTTATTCCACTTCACCATCCATAGAATGATAATATTAATACTATGATATACAAGACTGTAAACGATCCGATTCATCACACAAGGTATCATCTTCATTGACTTCGATCAAGTCAGCGCCCCTCAGCTCCTCAAGTACTGCAGATTGATCCTTGTCCACCCCATTCCCTTGTTCGACACTATCTCCACAATACCCATGTAGATCGTAGATTGCTTGAAGCCAAATACGATGAAGATTGTTCATGCGCCTATGCTCCTCGTACCGCATCCGGATCTCACTGGCAAGAACAGTGTTTGTCATTGTCAGTGCAGTTGAGATTTCGAGCAAATGGGCGTCTTCAGTGTCCACCCATGTCTGAAGACGGCTGATCTCAATATTAAGCCTATGAATCTCTTTGTGTGCCCTGTCATATACCATATATCCGGTTACAGATCCGATGATCCGGATCTCAGATCCGATCCAGATCCGATGAACATATCCGTCGTCCGGTCCACAGATCCACTTTGATTCTTATTTCATTTCCTGTTCATATAACTCTAACTATCGTTCATCTCCTTTCGGTATTCCTGTACACCAGTATACCGGTTATCCTTTACTTCCGCTTTGCTTACTGATCCGCTACACTTACGAATCCGCTTTTACTTGTACTTCATTCCCGGTTCATGATTCGTGATCCATCCAACTTACCAATACGCTCCACTTAGACTTTGCTTATACTTTCATACATAGCCTCGCACCTTTGCTTATTGATCATTCCGTTAGCTATCCGTAGTATATAAACCTTTGTATATGCGCTGTAGTAGATCAGTTCGAATATCATCTTAGATTGCACTCATTCCGTCTGGACTCTAAAGTCCCTCCGTTATCCGTCCGGACTTGAGTACGCTACTCTTGTCTACTCCAAGACTTAGGATAGGTTCCTATAGTCTATATATCCGCCTCTGTCTTCGGACAGTCCTCACCTGTTAGTTTCTAGTCCGGATCCGATCCGGATTAGCCGTTACTCTATACGTTCAATATCCGGAAGTCTTAACGGATCCGTTGCAATACTTATCCGTTGCGATACAAGACTTATCCGTTACAATACTTAACCGTCTCACTAGACGCGATACTTTAGCTCTCTGAAATAAGGGGCAAGACTCGGGAAAGGGGCACAGCGCATGAGCTGAGGCCGAAGCCCTTCGGATCCGATACTACTTGAGTACGGTCTTAACAGTGCCCGAACAATCCTAAAAAATTTCCCTGCAACTTCTCTGTTAGCCTTCAACGCCCAAGGTTTGCTGAGGATTTCGCAACGTGAGTGTTTGAGCATTTCAAATTCTCCTAGCCATGCATATGAAGCGACTTCACTAAACTTCAACATATCATGGGGAGGGGTTTGAAGAGGGGCAAGGTGGTTGTATCGTTCAAGCGCCTTTCGAATTGCAGTTGAACGACGGGTAATGGCATTTGATATCTGTTGCTGCATTTTGTATCCTAGCATAGCTATTAGCACTGCAGAGTTATCTGATAGTGCACGTACCTGTACCAGCAAGATTGGCTTTTGCAAGCTCAAATAGCCGCTGCACGACTAGTCCTTCTAACTGTTCAACTGCCCGAATAAACCGCCAATTTGTTAGATATGCTGATGCTTGTTTGTATTCTGCGTCATTTACAGTCCATCGTGTTTCAATACTCAACTGTCGCTCTAGATCAGATACGACATTCATCGCAAGTAGGAGCTTATTGTGTGCCGCTTGACGTTCGGCTTCCTGTGCCTTTGTCATGACTTGAGCTTCTTTCCGAAGACCAGAGTATCGTGTGAAATCTGTAGGAATGTATGATAGAAACTGGACCGAAGTGACGCCTCCATACACAGCCCTGAAACCTTATCAGCTGGGAGAAATCTTATATTATAGAACACATACTCGGCCTTAGAAAGTAACTGGAGAGCTTCCACATATGCGATCTTTTGAGGATCATACTCCTGTTCAATTGAGAGGCGTTGAAGATACTCTAACTCTTCGATATTCCAACGCTCGAAGTCAGTGTCAGTGATCTTCAGTTGTGTTTTGAGTTCTTCAACGACGGGTGTCAAGTTATTGATGATATTGAGCGCTTGCTTGTAATTTTGATACATAAATTGGCCTAGAACAGAAAATTAATGTGCTGAAGTTAATTATTGAAAACACGCATTACTCAGTTCCTGGTACCAATCTTGATCCCATTGGTTGAAGTGTAAATCGATGAATTGAAGCCAGTGAAAGTACGATGCATGCTGTATCACCGGGGCCACAGCATTTGATCCGGAGAATACTCGTTCGCAAGTTTCAAGGTCCTCTATCCCAAGACCTTGTTGGTAAAGTGTATGGAATTGGAGTTGACAGCGGTGATTATGTGCGTGACCATGGAAGGAGTTGACGACAAAATGATGATTGTGATTCTTGACCTTCATTGCTATCGAGCTGGCAGCCGCAGTTTTGGTGAATGAACATCCAATGTCATAACCTGTGACTCCATCAGAACCATAAACATCTATCAGCTTGTTCGCCGTTGCTAGGGCATATTTTGCACTTCAAAATTCAGACAGAGTGATAATCAAATGACAGTGCACGTACAGTTCACCGCTCCGTCTCATCTCAACAACAGTCTGAATAATACCATGGCGGCATGCACTAATGAAGACACCGGTTTGATCAAACACATCGATCATATTTTCAGTGACAGCATTCGCAGCTTTCCAGTTTTCAGTGCACAATGAGTCGTGCGAAGCTTCCAAATCGTTTGTCTGCATGTTTTCAGGAGGAAGACGTGTGCCTGGGCGAAGTCGGACATCATCTTTGAATAGCTCGACGTCGGCCTGGATGTATGAAGTATGAAGATTCAAAGAGTCGTTCATCAGCATGACCAGAGCCATCAACACATTTCAGCGAGTTGTTACCATCAAAGGAATCAAGGCGAGCAGGAATAAAGCGGTGGTTCATCCAGTTGCTACTCTTCAAATTAATTGTGCGGTAACTAAAAATTACAAACACCTAACCTTGTAGTTACATGGTGGGCATGCATGCAACATGCTCCAATTCACAGAGTCACGTTGAAGAGCCTCATCCACAAGGCATTTGACGGAACGTAAAATGCCAAGATACACATCAAATGCAATGGCAAATTGGTCTCGAAGCGATTGAAAATATGTCTGCTACTGTAATGTGAAAACAATGATAAGGAAAGATAGAACGCAGATTACGTTGTGGAGGGCACACAAAACCTTCACCATTGCTTGAACACTAAATGAAGGTTTTTGACGGCGGATTTGATGATACAACTCGAGGCAGTGCAATGAAACAGCGACCGTGGGTTGAAGTGGTGAACAGCCGAGGAAGCCCAGCTTCAAGAGTGAGATGTTGGCCAGTTCTTCGTGGGCCTGAACAATGGGCTTGACATGCATGTAACCTCAACTTGAAGTTAGCAGTGCTCTCGAAATCACAACTTGCAAACCTTACATGTGATATCAATGGTTGAAACATGAAACTGTGGAGGCAGGGGTGTGCGGCTGATCAGCAGTGCACCTCATCAGGCTTATCATGCTTCCACTGTAAATAAGTATCCGTGAGGTAAGACATTTGCGAATGCCATGCTGCATGCATTTGGCGGTTGCTGCTGAAGTCGACTCCGAGGTGCACGCTGGCGACGACGACTGCCTCGTATGCTGAGATGTTGAACGTGCAAGTCAGTAACGATACTGTAGTTAAAGATATACATACCATGCTATGACATGTGCTCTGGCAGCGGTGACTGCTTGCCCATCGCGACTGGCCATAGGCGCGTCTTCATCCCCATCGTCTTCTTCATCAGAACTAGTAGTCTCTGGAGATTCGTCAACTTCCATCTGGCCAATACTTGCATCTCCATAGTCGAATGATACAGCTAGGTCTTCTGCATGGTTGGAGGGTTGTGCATGGATCGCAGCTTCAGCAAGAACTTGTCGAGCTTTCATATTGATTTCTGTTGATAGTAAGATAGTCTGTAGGACAGGCGTTAAACAGACGTGGAATACACACCTTCACAAAGGTCACGGTTTTCTTGTTCGAACCTGATGCGGTCTTCACGGATCCTGGTAAGGTTGGCCCTGATCGTTTTGCTTGTGCCCGAATCCAGGATTACTGTCTCTTGGACGGAACCAAACATCGAGTGGAATTTGCGTTTGGGCCTCATAGCATGTAGAACGAAGTGGATGGTTGAAGTAAACAAAAGGGCGCATGGGAGTTCACCCATTTAATAATGGTGGGACAATTAGCAAAGACAACAGATAATGAGCAGCGTGTGCTCACCTTCAGTGATGGAGATCGCAGGCATTGCACTCCTTACCTGACGCATGACTCTGAACGCACAACCCTGAACGCACGGCCCTGAACGCACGACTCTGAATGCACTGACGAGATTGTATTGTCCTGTCTATTTCTCCCTTTTGTGTAGCGATTAGCAAGGTCGGCAGTTAACAATAAGAACCTTGCACTCACCTGAGTGGCGGAGATCACGCTAGAGTGGTCCTACAAGCAGCAGGACATGTGGGAGTTGACCTGCTTGATAATGATGAGGCGATTAGCAAAGACAGTAGAAAATGAGCAGCATGTACTCACCTTTAGTGATGGTGATCGCGGGCATTGCACTCCTCACCAGACACACGACTCTGAACACGCGATTCTGAACGCATGACTCTGAACACATGACGACTCTGAACACACGATGGCTCTGAATGAATCAACAATATCGCATCGTCTTGGCTATGTGTGGCGGTTAGCAGGAGACGGCAGTCAACAACGAGCACCTTGTACCCACCTTCAGTGACGGAGATGGCACTTAGAACCAACAAGGAGCCTACAACAGCCAAGGAATGACTCCGTGGAAGGCCTGATGGTGGAAGTAATGCTCTGGGGGAGAGTATGCTTTAATAAAGAGAAGGGTCCACCAAAAATAAGCGAAAAATTGGCCACAGGATGGAGGAAATAGTGAGCTCACCATTGGAGATGATGAGCTCGAGAGGGAATCAACCATGAGAATGACGGAGAAGGTGTGTGGGAGTGTTTGTAAAGATTCGGTATCAGTGAGTAAGGCGGCGGGATTACCCGGCTGGAAGTACCCAATATGGCAGGGGATGTTGGGCTCGAAAATCTCTCCAAGTCACTGCTGATATGCTGATATTATCGCTGGTATAACGGGTGGTAAATAAACATTACTAACTAGTAACAGGAATAGGTACCTGATGTAATTACTAATTAGTAAATTAAATGGTGACACTCAGGTGAACTGCCATTGAATAGATGCCCAAGCTTTTCCGGATTTCACCCAGTTTTGGTGATCCAAATTTTGCAGTGGTCTTCTGTGATGCTGAATAGACTATTGATGAGGGTGAAAGCTGGGCTGTAGTATTTGGATCTCTCAGCTGCTGGTATCTGGTTTCACGTTCCCCGATGTATGAATGATGACGAATCTCCGAAGTTCTCAGCATCCATGAGATGCCTCAGGTTCTGGAATCTGCGTGTCGCTGACATACTAGGTCGTATACAACAACGGTTTGGAATTACATGTCATCATCACGTTGTCACAACCCTTATAACGAATTAACGCAGGGGCAGAGACTAGGACTCAAACAAGGTTGTCACAACAAGAGAGAAGAGGATAGCAGGGACGTCTTAGGATTGCTAGCAATAAGCTAATACAAAAGAGGTTTGAACTGGAGAACTACTGACTACAACGAGCTTCCTATATACATACATTGAAACGGAGAATGAATCTGAGTCTGAACTAACTAGCCAATCATTAAATAGAAAAGGGAATCGTACGATATTCTAAATATAACTACACTATGATGTCATGGAACGTGTGATGGCTGTGCAAGGGTTCTCGAAGGTTCTGGAGTCACGTGACTTAATCGCTTGAGTAAGAAAGTCAAATCAGGAACATCGGAAATAGAAGTAGTGGGCGCTAACAGAATAGAGAAGTTCGGGTTAGGGTTTGTAAAGGTTATAGGTACAGACGCTGATTGAGCGCTAACAACAGGCGCTTGTGACGAGCGCTTAGCGGGTGTCTTACGAGTGTTTAAGAAAGAATAATGGTTTGTATTTGGAATTCGTGACATTACCCCCTCTCTAGGATGAGCGTCATCGCGAATGTAGGATGGTCGAATGTTTTTCTCTCTCCACTGTTTGAATGCATCTGTATCCAAAATAGACCCAAGGATTCGTTTGGATTTGGCAGCCGTGGGATTTTTCTTATGGAATTCTGCAATTAGAATTGGGGAGTTTTTAACGTTTTCTTCTGGCTCCCATGTCGATTCTTCTATCGGATATCCTTCCCACTTTACTCGGTACTTGCACTTTTCCTCGGAATTGTCGGCTATCTAGTACTTCTTCTACGACAAATTCTTCCTGATCGTCAACAATGTCTGGAGGTGGTCGGATGGGTTGAGAATGAGGGATCATTTGAGATGCGTAATATGGAGTAAGCAATTCTACATGGAAAACCGGGTGAATCTTATAGCTTTCTGGCAATTTCAATTTATAGTTCACTTCGCCGGTCTTCTCTAGTATTTCAAAGGGCCCAAGACGACGATCTGACAACTTTTGACTTGGACGACGTTGTTTAATGTTCTTTGCGTCCAGCCAGACCTTGTCTCCCTTTTGATACTGAGGTGCGTCTTTAACTCCTCGGTCATAGAAGCGTTTCATACGTTCATTAACCATCTTTAGAGTATTTTCCGCATCATCTCTTGCTTCCTTCATTTGTTCTGCTCTCTCATCGGCGGCGGGAATAAGGGATTTGGAGTTCGGAGATACGGTGAATTCAGGATTATATCCATAAAGGACTTTGAACGGACTATGACCGGTTACTGTGACTGCATTGTTATGTGAAAACTCTGCTATTGGCAGCCAAGATACCCAATCATTTTGTCTATACGAGGTGAACATGCGCAAATATTGTTCAACTTCTTGATTTACGCGTTCTGTTTGTCCGTCTGTTCTGGGATGATAGGAGGTCGAGGCAGACCATTTCGTTCCTAATCTTTTCGATACTTGTCCCATAAACTTCGAGATAAACTGTGTTCCTCTATCCGAAATCACTTTCTTTGGTGTACCATGATGTTTCCATACGTTCTTTAGAAATAGCTCAGCAATTCCTTTCGAGTCTACATCTTTGGTGGTAGGAATGAAATGTGATTGTTTCGAAAATCGATCAACGACAATGAATATACTGTCACATCCTTCACTCTTCGGTAAGTCCACTATCAGGTCGCATGAGATCGTTTGCCAAGGTCCTTCTGGAACTTCATTCGGCTGTAAAGGTCCCGTTGGTCTACTGGGGAACACTTTCGTTTGTTTGCATCGATCGCAACCGTCTACGTAATCATGGACATACTTCGTCATTGAAGGCCACCAATAGTTTCTGGAAATCAATTCTAAGGTTTTGGCACGTCCAGGATGTCCAGCCGGTGGAGAGTCATGAAACAACTCCAATATCTCTCGGCGGATTTCTTTATCATTTGGAACGTATACCAGTCCTCGGAATAACACC